TAATTGTATCATTTATTGAGCATCTAAATGCTTTCTATTCCCCAAAGATGGATTTAAATCCACACTTTTCAGATGAGATATTGGTGGCTCTAAGAGCTGAATGATTTGCCCCCAGGTTTCACAATGGAAAGAGGTGGTGCTAGGACAAACAAGTAAGATTGTCTGACACCAATGTTCTTGTTTGTTCTGTAGCACCCTGCTGTTTTACTTATGCGATGGAGTTAGTAATGCTTGACTTATATAACTTCTAGTTTTGTGGGAGACTTGATTGAGCCAAGTTTAAGTTGATGGGAAAACCCCTTGAAAAGTCATTTTGACAAATGTGAAATCGAAGCCCACTATGAGATTTGTGCATAAGGATGCTTCACAAATGATTTTAACTGATGTACAAGGGGTCTTCAAAATTTCATGGGAAAATGGAATGAAAAGATAGTAGATTTTCCCCCACATACTTGTTGAAGCCCCCTCAGACACTGGAATACTTGGTTGGCATGTAAAGCTAACTACCATTTGAATAGTAGGGACACAGAGGGCAGTTGTTGTTGTTGTTAGGTGTTGTCAAGTCAGCTCCAATGTTGTCATAGATACCTTATGCACAACAGAACATAACACTGCAGTCCTGTGCCATCCTCACAGTTGTTATACTTGAGCCCATTGCTGCTGCGACTGTGTCAATCCATCTTGTTTGGGGTTTTCTTCTTTTTTGTTGACCATCTACTTTACCAAGCATATTGTCCTTTTCCAGGGACTGGTCGCTTCTGATAATATGTGCAAAGTATGAGAGATGAAGTCTGGCCATCCTGCCTTCTAAGGAACATTCTGGCTATACTTCCTCTTCCAACACAGATTTCTTTGTTCTTCTGTTAGTCCACAGTACTTTTAATATTCTTCTCCAACACCATAACTCAAATACATCAATTCTTCTATGGTCTTCCTTACTCATTGTCTGACTTTCCCATGAGGCAACTGAAAATACAATGACTTAGATCAGGGACACATTAGTACTCAAATTGATATCTTTGTTCTTTACCACTTTAAAGTGGTCTTGTGCTGCACATTTGCTTATTGCAATATGTCATTTGATTTCTTGACTGCTGCTTCCATGCGTGTTTATTGTGGATCCAAACAACATGAAGTCTTCGACAACTTCAATCATTTCTCCATTTATCATGATGTTATTTATTGGTTCACTTGTGAGGATTTTTGTTTTCTTTACATTGAGGCTCAATCCATATTGAAGACCATGGTTTTTGATCTTCATCAGTATGTATTTTAAGTTCTCTTTGTTTACAGCAAGCAAGGTTGTATCATCTGCATATCACAGGTTGTTAATGAGTGTTCCTCCGATCCTGATATCATGTTCTTCTTCATATAATGTAGCTTCTCAGATTATTGCTTAGCATACTGATTTAATACTATGGTAAAAGAATACAGCCCTAGTGCACACCTTTCCTGATTTTCAAACCATAGAGGGTTGTTGGTCTTGCCAAAATTTAGCTTATTGGGTGTATATTTCAGTGCTGTGTAAAACCAGGGACTCTCCATGACTTTCTGTTTCCTGAGTGTAGGCATGACCAGTTAAAAATGACCCAGCTAGATTGGGCTGCGAACCTTAAGGTCAGCGGTTCGAAACTACCAGTCGCTCCGTGGGAGAAAGATGAGGCTTTCTACTCCCGTAAAGATTTACACCCTCGGAAACCCTGTACAGGGTCGCTATGGGTTGGAACCGACTCGACAGCACTTAACAACAACAACAACAAGATTGCAAGAATTATAGGAACACTCATGCTTATTATGTTTTATAAAGAATACTTTTTGAAGCATAAAACTCCCTTCCTTAACTCCTTTTTTATCCTGCTGTTGCTGTATATTCTATTGGTCAGAGACCAGAAGTGTGTAACATTTTTTCAAAACTGTGTTCTGGCCTCAAACATGTTGTCCAGAGGAACAATTAATTTCGGACTCTATTTTGCCGGGTGGTGGTGGTTATGTGCTGTGGAGTCGGTTCTGACTCATAGCGACCCTGTACAGGGTTTCCGAGGCTGTAAATCTTTACAGGAGCAGAAAGCCTCATGTTTCTCCTGCAGAATGGCTGGTAGTTTCAAACTGCTGACCTTGAAGTTAGCAGCTCGACTTGTAACCACTACGCTACCAGAGCTCCTTCTACTTTGCCTAGAAGAGTGAATTAAGAAATCCACCCCACCTTGTCTCTGTGTATAAAATAGCAGGTAACACTTGCTCTTATTTCTTGGTGGTTTAAGGAAGGAGCCAGGTTATTTGTGGTACTAAGAATAGAAAGGTCTTGTCTTGTATGAAACCAATAATGATTGCTTTGGGTTCAGAGTATAGAATAGTTTCTCATTAGATTTATAACAAGTTTTGATCTTTCCAAATAACCTTTGTAGTTCATCTGTCACAAACCTTCTTCAACTAACCCCTTGATAATAGTCCCCTAAGGACAGACAAAGGAGCACAGTGGTTAAAGTGCTCAGGTACCAGCTAAGAACTTATCAGCCACTGTGCAGAAGAAAGATGTGGCACTCTGCCTCCATAAAGATCACAGCCTAGGATATCCTTCGCTTTTCTACTCTTTCCTAAAGGATTAGCATGTCAGAATCCTCTTGATAGCAGTGACATTTGGATAAGGGCATGCAGGTGACTGAGGCATCATTGTATTCTCCACACAGAGTGCCCTGCGTGAGAGGGAGACCAACTGCACCAGTGTCTTAGGCTAGGTTTTCTAGTGAAGTAAAACCAGCATCTGTATATATTGTTGTTAAGGGCCTTCGAGTCAGTTCGTACATACATATATATATGTAGAAATTTATTATCAAGGAAATGGCTCATAACTGCAGAGTCCCAGGTCCCCAGCAGAAGAGAGAGGAAATTCCTCCCTCATGTCCATTATATTGGGAGCAGGCCACACCCCCAAGGAAGTATCCCTTTAATTGATTGAAAGAATGGCTCATAGCCATTCTTCAGAATTAACTATGTATTAGGTTTCATTACCATGGGAATAAGCACATCCTAACTGCCAAACCTCTGCAAATCCTGGTCTAATCAAACTGACACAAAACCCTAACCATTACATTCCACCTTGTCAACTTAAACCTATAAAATAT